GATACAGATGTGTAATTGGGTATCACCAACATACTGATGATACCTCATCCCATAGCGACAAATGATCTCATCCAGCAGCTTCATGTAGATGTTAAATAGGAGCAGAGAGAGTACCAAACCCTGTGGCATCCCACATAGTAAGGTTGCAGGCAGGACTTCACTCCCAATCAACACTGTAGGAAGGAAGAGAACCAGCCCAATACTGTGTCACCCACTCCTACGCCATGGGGCTGATCCAGAAGGATACCATGGATGATGCTGTCAAAGGCTGCTGAGAGATCAAAGAGAGCAAAGACAGATGCACTACCCTTGTTCTTCTCTCACCAGAGATCCTCTAAAAGCATGACCAATGCTGTTTCTATCCCATGCCCAGGCCTGAATCCTGACTGAAAGGAGTCCCAATAATCCACTTCATCTAGGGCCTGCTGATCAGTGCAATTCCAATAGTTGTTCATCTGTTGATTCCTGAAGATTTATGCAAGAGCTCAAACTAGAACTAGATTGGACTTAGAACAAAGATATGAACTGGAATAGTCATATAGGATACAACAATCACTTGGGCAGCTAGGAACTTTTGCTGGAAGGAAAGCCTCAATATTTTTCATGCAGTATGAGGTTTAGGGGAGACATAGTTAGAAAGATATCTTGGACAGATAAAAACTTTTTTTTCTCTCTGAGGAACTCAAGTCCCCCACTTATAATTTCATAGAAACCCTATGGGTCAGGCTGGGCTGAGACCTAATGGTTGTCCAATGTTACCTAGTAAGTTTTATAGCTAAGTGGGTATTTGAACTTAGGTCTCCCAAATCAAAGTCTAACATACGGACCATCTGACAATCATAATTAATAATGCAACATTGACATTATGTTCTGTGGTCCACAACAATACTTAGAAGAAAGAATAAGCCCAGCGGGGCATGCGTCCTTTGACAAGTGAGGTCTACCCCTAAAGAATGTGGCATTGCACAGTGCCCATTTCACAGGGTGTAAAAAGTGAAGTGACAGCAAACTAGGCTGGTGTGATTGAGGCAAAGAGGGAGGGAAAAAGAGGATGCCAGCTCACCCATGACTCAGGACAATAGAAAGTGCTGAAACACCACACACAAAGCAGGGAAGCAATTGCCAGAATTAGGGAAGCAACTTCTTGAATCTTGGCCAGGCACTGCAGATCCTCCCCAGGAGGTAACTGAGCACCAGCAATTGGTGGAAATGTACAAGACTGTGGTGATCCCCAGGGTCATCGCATATGCGGAGGGCAGTAATTCTAGACTAAGGAGAAAAGCACAGCTCCATGCCTGGGTGGAACGAGACACTTTATATCATTGCATGAAGGGTTTTCAGTACTGCAGCCCTTGGGCTACTGAACTAGTCCTCATACAGCACTTTTGATTCTTTGAGTGTGAAATCTCTGATTTAGACCGAAATGGAATATTTTAAAAGTACCAAATGACTTTTATGGCACTTTCTCCTTGTAAAGTTGAAAGCTCTGATAACCAAGGAGGATTTTTAAGGGATAATATGTCATTCTTCTTAGTTGGGATTGTAGTGAGATGATCTGCTGCAATTTCACAATAGGACGATAATTATATATTATCCTTATTGTACTGTGAGCCTTTGTGTAAGTCGACCAACCCAACCAAGTATCTATCCATCCTTTCATATTTGGGGAAGGCTGGTTTATCATCTGACAATCTGGTTTCGTCAGAGGTTTTGTGATTAGTCCATTGGGATTGGGCAGCTAATGAATTCGAATGAATGAATGAATGAATGAATGAATGAATGAATGAATGAATGAATGCTAGTTCCAACCAAATGGGAGGGCCCAAAGCAGGGGAAAGTGTTCCAAACAAACTAATGATATTTATCGGTTGGATTTTTTATATAGTGGTTTCTTGACTGAAGCGTTATGTCTGGGTTCATATTACACTAAGCAAAAACGGCTGAGTTATACACGGTTGTAACCAAACCAAAACAGGCCCCATTATGGCTTTCTATGATGTGTGAACCTAGCCACTTCCTCAAAAAGTTTCTGATTCAAAATAGGGAAGCCAAGAGGTTGAATAGACTAAGGGAGGAAATACTTTTATAAGATCAGCAGATAAGTCCGTCAGGAATTTTTTTTTTCTTTAAGAAGTACTCAGAGTCGTCCTTTTCTCTCTTCTCTCATATATATAATGCAATAGAGGAATCTAGTCCATGCCGCAGTTAGAACATGAACTGTGTCAGTACCTTTTGCCTAGAAGGAACTTATTTTTTTCCTGGAGGTTTGTTGCTTTTAGGAGTAAATTCAGGAAAGGTACTTTGGGAAAAAATGTGCTTCCTTCATCATGCTCTTTGCAGGAAAATGCATCTAGTAAAGTATATTTGGGGTGATCAGGTGCCATCAGTCATAAAACTGGATGTGAAAAACCAGTTATGCATTTTGTTTTAAAAATACATTGTAATTCTTTCAATTTGCCAGAAATAGCTCTTTTTTATAAATACGTGCAATCTCCCTTTTATTAAAAATGAGGCACTTACTTCACTTTTCCTTTAAATCCTTTAAAATTCTTTACAAGGAGTATTTTTTTTTTTTTACTTGAGGGAGAAAAGCATCTTTTGCAGAAATTTGCCTATGTGAATTTGATGCTAGCTCCCTCCATATCTTTATCCCCTGACTGTAAAATGGTCTGTGTAAACTTGACTATTGTCTTTCACAGCATTGTTACAACTTTTTTTGCAGTAAGGTATATGCTGACATTAAAAACATAACAATTGGAGTCACCTAGGGCAGAGTTCCTCAACCTCAGCAACTTTAAGATGGGTGGACTTCGACTCCCAGAATTCCTCAGCCAGGATGGCTGGCTGGGGAATTCTGGGAGTCGAAGTCCACCCATCTTAAAGTTGCTGAGGTTGAGGAACCCTGACCTAGAGAGCATTGTTTTCCCAGTAGTATTTGTGACTAGAACCTTAACTCTTTAATACAAGGATTTTCTTTCTGTAGATCTGCCTTTAAGATCAAAAGGAACGAAAGAACTTTTTGTTTTCCTTTCCATTGAATGTGATAGTCATCAGAGAGCACGAGTGCCCTCTAGTGGGGACAATGAGAAAAGCCGATCAATAAAAGTCTGCTTAAGACAGACTGACATGATTACGGTATTACATTGCATCTTGCCAGCATAATGCTAAAAAGAAATGGAGACTAAAATGTCAACACATGATTTGGTATTGAAATGATTCATTTAACATTCAAAGAAGGAAGAATTATGCATGGTTATAAAATTGACAAATAATTGAAAAGAACAAAGTCAAACAATATATTTTGCTTCTTTATATTCACTGAACACACTGATGCATTCTGAATGCCAAGCTGAGTGATATGCACCTTCTGTCACATTTTATATGATGTAATATGAATATTTCTCTTTTTGTTTTAAAAAGATACTGATACTAACGGAAAATATACAATGAATATGACCAAAGAATGCTCATTGTCCAATACCCAGCTAGATAGTAGTGAAGATTTTTGAATTAAGCATCCAAATTTTGAAAGACTAAAGTTTGCCATTCATTTTTGCTCTTAGAACATGTATTTGATTAAAATTCTTTTAAAATTATTACACTATTATTTATGCTAACTTGACTTGCAAATCATTACTTAAAATTGTCAAAAGAGATTCTTATATGCATCTGTTCTATACTTGGCCAACGTTTAGCATATTTTGGGTGGCTTAATATTTCTCAGGGCTGTATGTGTGTGTTAAAACTCCAGTTAACTGAAGATAAAGCAAACTTAGGGAATGTTACACATAATGGCAGGACTGGGCTATTTCTTTGCCTTCTTAACTGACTTTAAGACTGTTTTAAATTTATATTATGGTTTTCAAGTGCTTTCCAACTCAAAAGGAGAAGAATGTGTTGAATTGATTTTTGGCAATTGTGCTGCTGTTTATCATGGTATAATAAATGTATTAATTTTTAAGGTGCAACAAGATTTGTTTCTAGTTTCTAAAAGGGGTTAGTTCCAGAATATTGCTGAACAAGATTGTTAACAGAGAGTCACCATAAATACTTATATTTCACTGAGGTTGAAATATGTGTTATCAACTTCAGTATGTTGGATTATCTATACCTGTTTCAACTGGGTTTCAGGCTGGGATTTAGTATGGAGACAGCTTGGTTGGGTTTGTTCATGACTTGTGGCAGAGCTGGGATGGGGATGGGACATCCATCCTTGTGCTCTTTGATCTCTCAGTGGCTTTCAGTTCCATCGACCATGGTATCCTTCTGGATCTGCTCTGGGGGCTGGTGGTGATGGTAGGGAGAAAAAGGCAGCTCCCTAGGCCCCTTTGTGGAGTTCCACAGCACCCAACATTCTCTCCCCTCTTGTTCAACATCTGCGTGAAACCACTGGATGAGGTCAACTTCTGGTTTGGGGTCCAGTATCATGATCCCAGGCCAGCCAAATGAGGCTGTTGAAGCCCTGTCTCAGTGCCTGGAGGCTTTGTGGATGAAGAGAAACCAATTCTGGCTCAGTCTTACAAAACTAGTGGCTGTGGATGCTAGAATTGCCTAGATCCGGGGATTTTCCATCTTTACTCCTGGATGGGGTTGCACTTCCCCAGTCAGGAGTGGTATACAACTTGAAGGCTCTTTTGGACTCACAGCTCCTGCTCATAGAGCAGTTGGCAGCTGTGGCCTAGAGGGCTTTGCACTGCTCCATCTGGTGCACCAATTGTGTCTTTGCGGGAGTGGGAGGGAGGGAGGGAGGAAGGAAGGAAGGAAGGAGGGAAGGAACAGGGTGGAAGGAAAGGAGGGAGGGAGGGAAGGGAAGGAAATAAGAAAGGAAGGAAGATCCAACAGAGTGGTTGCACTCCAGGTCCTCTTGCTTACATAGTGTTAATAGAAACACTTAAAAAAAGTTACAAAGCAAATGTAATAATCTAATCAGCCACCGCTAGGCAATTTCTTAGCCAAGCAGTGTATTTGCACTACAAGGGATCTCTCTGCTCTCTCTCCAGCTCCATCTGATCCACTGGAACGCCACCATGTATCACAGCATTGATGAGGCAGTGGGAAAGAAGAATGGTATAGCCATCATTGCTTTATTCGTGCAGGTAACTTTCCTTCTCTTCGCCATGATGGTTTATTGTCTCTTAATTGCAATTTCATTGCAATCCTGCTATGATGGGGGAAACTATGGGTGCCAGTTTCTCCCTTCCACAGCTATTACAGAAGCAAAAGCAGACTGTCATTATGTCTGTTCATAAGAAAGTTATAAAGATAGTTCCCTACTTATGAACGGGTTACATTCCAAGAGGCTGTTTGTAAGTCCATTTTCTTCATAAGTCCAACAAGTGAAAAAAAAAAAAAAGGAGGTGGAGGTAGGAGGCAGGGCTGGTGGGGCGCAGTGCGCTCCATTGGTGGACAAGGCAGGAGACCTCTGCCCCCTCTCCCCTGTCCTCTGTCACCGCCCCCTCTCCTGCCTCACCCAGCAATGGAGCGCACTGTGTAAACTAACCTTTTCTGAGAACTCCAACTTCAAAGCAAACTTCAAATGTAAATGGAATGCTGGAGAAGATGGGAAAGGGTTAGTTTGTGGTTTGCTGCAAACAAACCTTTTCCCTCCTTCTCCTGACTTCCGGTTCCAACTTCCAGTTCTGACTTCTGGGTCCATCCTGTTCGTATTGGTGAAAGTTTGCAACGTGAAAGTTTGCAAGTAGGGGACTCTCTGTACTCTATATCTTTCAGCAATACAAGCCATTTTCATTCATGTGGCAGATGCCACTTAAGTTGTGTTTTCTAAGTGAATCATAGTGTTGAACGGAGCTCATAATTCCTCTTCAGGCTTTTGGTACAAATATATGAAGGGCTTCTGAGTCACACTAATTATACTTTTGTCTCAAAGATATTTTATTTATTTATCGTATTTACTGTATATAGCCTCCCATCTCACATAAAGTGACTCTATATTCATCTGCATATCGACCGTGACCTGTGAATACATGGGTTATGTCAGTCAGTGTCCCTGTGGAGGAAGCCTGCATATCTACAGTTGTGTTCTAAGTCTCGCCTCCTTCAGTTTGACATAAACTTGATGCATCAGTCAGGATGTGGTCACCCCTGGCATTGGTCTAAGGCAGTGTTTCTCAACCGTGGCAACTTGAAGATGTATGGACCTCAACTCCCAAGATTCCCCAGCCAGCCATCCTGGCTGGGGAATTCTGTGAGTTGGTCCTCACATCTTCAAGTTGCCACAGTTGAGAAACACTGGTCTAAAGAGTAAAGATGGTCAAATTTAAATGCATTTAATTAAGATAAATGCAATAATTTTTTTTTTTTTTTTTAAGGGCGGCCCTTCCCTCACATAGACAACCACCAGGTGGAAGCAAAATGTTAGAGTTTTCTGTATCTCTTTGGTGCCATCCTGTGGTCATCTGGATTTGTGGAGCCAATGCACAGTTGCCATAATATCCCCCCCCCCCAATAGAATATATCGTATTCATTTGTGTGTTAGATTTATATCCTATATTTTGACCAGGAGCTCAAAGTGGTTTACATAGTAAATAAATTAAATAAAATTAAAAAATTAAAAAGTATAACTTATTCCCATTTTCCCACACAACAACAATGTTGTGAGGTAGGTTGGGCTGAGAGAGAGTGACTGGTTTGAGCTTTGATGGTTGAGGATAGACTTGGGTGGTCCCTGTGCAAGTCCAACCCCACATCTAGCACAGATTTGACATCAGTTTTGCCACGCAGATGAGCAAGGATGGAATTTCTGAGGTTTGAGAACAGGTTGGTACCTTTTAAAAAAAGGTTTATTATGCATTTCTAATTATCCTTTTTGTTTCTTCTTCTGCCAAAAAATTACATTTCCATTTTTCAGCAGCAGTTTCATTATGGGGAGTTCTCTGGGACCCCAAAAGGGTTTCTTAAAGTAACTTGTGAATTCTGTGTTGCTCCCCCAACTTAGAGGAGAGAAATAGAAGTTTGGAATAGTGAAGGGATCAAAATCATGTCATGACTGGAACGGCTGTGAACTGCCACTAGGTAACAGGATAATAGTGAATGGCAAATGGAAATGCTTCTTTAAGAAACATATTTGAATGCTTTTTTGTGGACTTCTATTAATTTCTTATGTTTTAAATAAATTCTTTGGAGGCTGTGGTGTTTGAATAGAAAGATGTACAGGTAGTCCTCGACTTATGATCACAATAGGGACTGGAAAATTCATTGTTAAATGGTGAGGTCGTGAAGTGAGGCATCGTGTGGCCGCACTCAATTTTACGACATTTTTTGTAGCAGTCATTAAGCAAATCACTGTGGTGGTTAAGGGAAAATGTGGTTCCCCATTGATTTTGCTTGTTGGAAGCCGGCTGGGAAGCTCGCAAATGGCAATCATGTGACCCTGGATGTTGCAAGCATCGTAGATACATGCTGGTTGCCAAGTGTCTGAAATTTGACCACATGACTGCAGAGATGCTGCGACGGTTATAAGTGCGAGGACCAGTCGTAAGTCACTTTTTCCAGTGCTATCATAACTTTAAATGGTCGCTAAATGAATGGTTGTAAGTCAAGGACTACCTGTATGGCTGTAATGCAGAGTGAACAACTAAAAATAATGAAAGCTTGGTCTCCTAAAGGATTTTATAATTGCTTTGGAAGCTGTTATCCAATTTCTTCAAATCTAACGAAAGTTGGGTTAAATTGTTAAATAAATATCTTTAACTTATTACTACATCCCACTTCTCAGTTCAATTTAATCTTTTTTGGGGGGTGGGTAGGTATTTTTACTTTAATCGAAAATGTCTCTTCACCTGATCCTTAAGTGCTGTGTGTCCTATCATTAAGAGTTTAACTTATGCAGATGTCTCCTGCCCAGTCTCCTACATCCTTTAAATCAGCTTCTAAGGTGTTTTTTCATTTTTTAAAATCTAAAATTAAGTTTTTGAGAACAGCCTCAATTTCATGCAATATTCTGATGGAGTTTTGGATGTTCCCTCACTTACTTTCCCAGAGACAGCACCCTTTAGCCTGATCAGAATAGAAGCTCCACTTCTGAACACATCCAACCGAAGGAAAGCCATCAGTGCTCTGTGTAGTTGGTTCCACAAATACCCCTTTCTATTACAAAGTTTTTTTTTTCCCAGTTGGAATCTGCTCTTCCATCATTTTAATCTGTTATTCTACATCCTCCACCTTTGTTTTTTTTTAATTTTATTTTTTATTAGTTAAATATAATAAAGAAAAAGAATGCATCCAGGATTGTGCAATAAAAAACTACATACATTATAGTGATTAGGTAAACTGAACATAAGTGGTGGGGGAGAAATTAGAAAAAAGAGGGGAAAATGCATACTGTATAATATCAGCATAAGATTAAATCAATCCTTAAACATTAGTAAATCTAGCGCATACAGAGACATATTTCTCCATCTTCTCATTTTTAAAATAGAAGGACATTTCAAAAATAATAATAAACACATATCTTGACATAAGGAGACTAAATTTCTTTGCATCTACATAATAGACTTGGCACAGAGAATTATTTCACCTTGTTGTATATGACATCTTTTCAGATATTTGAGGAGTGCTGTTATAATCCCACTAAGCTCTGTTTGACAAAGTTTGCCTCTCAATATATGTTTGCGTACTTAAGATCCCCATCTGTTTATGCAGGGAAGCCAAGAGTTAAGAGCTTTATGGCATAAGTTTGGCCCATGTCTATGAAAGTAAATAACATCCTTGCTTACATTCATACCCATCAGTCTATTCTTTTTTGGGTTAGGCAAGGTTATGAAAAGTGCAGAGAGTAAGAAGTCGTAAGCCAAAAAGAAAAAGAAAAAGAAAGAAAGATGAGATAAGAAAAGGCAACATAGCTAAATCTAGTTTACATCAACACCATTCACTATGCCTCTCCTACCATGAACTATATAAGCTTCCACTATATCCATACCCTGCTTCATAAAATGACTTTTGTTCCTTAAATGTCTTACCTCTTTTGTTTTTTTTGGAGGATCTCAACATCTCTATCCACACACAGTTTTCTAAGGTCTTATACTTCCTCTTGACCTATTCACTCTTTCTTCATATTTTTGCTTTGCAAGTCAACCCTCATTGATTTTCTCTATATGATCAAACCACCTCAGTGTACTTCTGACATACTGGACATCACTCTTGTGTGTATTTCTTCTTGTGTAACGTATAGCCATTCATGTCAAGACAACTATCTTGGTTTTAGATACATTATTTTCATATCTGTACTCCTTTTTGCATCATACAATCTGTCTAATATTCACTGCAAATCCTTTGGCGTCTCAGTTGGCAATATGGCATCATCTGCATACAAAGGTATGTTGAACTATTCACTAAACATTCCATTTATTCTCATGTGTACTTTACTACTGTCATACATTTCTATAGAGCCCTATCATCATTTCTGTACACAGATTCAGAGGAGATATACTTTCAATCCCCTCTATCTTTCCATTTTTCTTTTCTCTTATATATTTAAGCATTAAAAATTAGAATACCACTTGAACCCCCAGGGTCCTTCCAACATTTTTAAAGTCTGTGGTGACACAGTTGTAGCTGTTCTTACAGTATCATTTCTTCCCACATGTATTAGCAGTTGAGAACAATTGCCAATAGACCAGATAAGTCTTAGAAGCTGTTCTGTCATATCCCTGATCCTTATTCCTGGAATATCCCACAATTCATCAGCATATGTTTAAGTTCTTTGTAATAGTGAATTATCAGTTTCTCTTTGCCTTTTATAGGACAAAGTTATATCTGATTCTGTCTCTGATTCTGCAATATCTCTTTTATCCCCCTCCCCCCCCCGAATACTCAGAACTGCTTCATCTTCAAGGAGCTAAAACCTATTGTCTGAGTTACAGCAGTGTGGAATGCCTTCTCTGTCTTTTGCTTCTGGTTGTTACTCTAATCCATTCTTCTTGCTTCTCTATTCTTCTTCTTTATTGAGAGTTTCTCCCGTTGTTTGTTTCTGTTGGGGAGATTCATTTCCTTGAACTGATGCATCAACTTTTCTTATCATCGAAAGTATGGCCATTTGCTGTTTCAATTCATTGGCGTTTTCTTCAAGGGCTTCTATGAGCCTGCTTTTGCTGCAAATATTATTTTCAGGCAGGAAGACAAGCATGCCACAAGCATTGTGGGTCATAATCGCATATAATTGCCTATTCATCTTCATTTTTGCTTTGTAGGACAGCATCAATAGTAAAGCTTTTATTTGTTCTTGCTCCCTTCTTGGCGCCTCACCTTAGCCAAATGTTCGAACTTGATTTATAGGGAAAGTTTGCTAGAGATTCCCAGTAGCTGAACTCCACCGTCAAAACCCTTTAGTTTCCCTGTTGGCTCATTCCTTGGAATCGATCCACTTTGTATTCTTCCTATCTCTGCCAAAATTTATTTATTCATTCAGTTACATTCAATTCATTCAAAGTGTGTCAGGTCTGGCACACTTACAAAGAATAGTATGCCTGGAATAACTGAAGGACTTCAGTGAAACCAGGCTTACTTTTTCAATCCCATCCAAACCCAGCATGGAACAAATTTTTCTAATTCTAAAAATATACACACACACACACATAATAGTAATATATATAACTATGTATGTGTGTGCATGTGTGTGTGTATAAATGTGTGTGTATATATAAAAAGTATATGTGTGTGTGTGTATATATATATAAAGTGTGTATATATATATATAAGTTAACATAAACATTATAAATATATAAGTAAAATATATTTTATATACATTTATAGAAAAAGGCGGGATTAAAACTCTAATAATAATAATAATGATTAATTAGCTGTATAGAATTGGCATATGTTCAATATCTGCTTGGAATCTGGCCTTTAACTGCTGATTATGCAGTCACTTTATAGCCTATACTGTATCACAGATGAAGAGTCCATGGCATTTCATTCCTTACTCAGTGGAGAATCATACAAGGTATTCTTGGATACTTATTCTTTCCTAGCCTTCTAGGCACACTGCATCTTATTTCCTTTCCTCTCTATTTTGTCCTTTCCTAACATATGTAGGTTAAGATAGGAAAAGGACAAAATAGAGAGGAAAGGAAATAAGACTCAGTGTGCCTAGAATAGTGCAGACTAGGACCGGGAAGACCTAAATTTAAATCCACTACACTAGAAAGTACTCTGGGTAAGTTTGGGTAGTTACTTTCTCGCAACCTATCTCATAGCATTCTTGTTGTGAGGATATAATGGAGGTAAGTTCCCCTGAACTCTTTAGAAGGAAGATGGTGTTAAACGTAAGAAACAACAACAACAGTACAAATGTCTTGGACCGCACAAAGGAATAATAACATATAAATACAATGAATAACATAACTTTTTTTTAGTTTGATGCACCAAAGTTTCTAATAATAATATGCTATTCAATGTATTTTAGAGATAGAATAACCTCTTTAGTATTTCAATATTTATTTGTCGTTGGTTTTATTTCAGATAGGAAAGGAACATTCAGGCCTAAAGGCTGTGACTGAAATTCTGCAAGACATCCAGTATAAGGTAAAACATCTTCACTATATCATTGGGGATCAGGTACTTAATGTGATCTGAATTTGGGGGGAAATGAAATGTATAGCAGTCATTTATTTAATTAATTTATTTGTTTTATACTCCTCTTTTCTCCTCAAGTAAATATCTAAAAAATTGAAATATGAATTGCAATTCTATATTAAAAAATTACATTTAACATTAACATGGATTAATAAAAAAGAGAACCACCTTTATTATCAAGACAAGATGTAGCCAAAGTGTAAATGACATTTGCTAAGTACAGCTTGCTCAGGAAGGATTGCAGCTGATGCACTATACTTAACTGTGCAAATGCGCTCCCAGTTCTGAAGCTAGCGACAGCTAAGGATCTATAAGCACCCCCAGACCAGGGACCTGCTTTTACAGGTGTGGTACAACTTCATTCAAAAATAAGCTGACCCACAATTCCCAAGTCCAGTTTACCAAGAACACCTCTGTCTTATCTGGATTTAACTTCAGTTTGTTCTTTGTCATCTAGTTATTATTGAACTTAGGCAATTATCAGTGGTACTAGCATTGTTGCACTTGGATTATAAAAATGTGTAGGCTTACTGATGGTACCCACTCCAAAACCTTGGATGACTTTTCCCGCAAAAACTCTTGAACAGAAGGGAGGCAAGATGAAATCATGTGGGTCACCATACCTCAGTGGGTGTTGAACAGTATCAACATACCTTTGAGGCTTGGCTTGAGAGAAGGGAGAAGAACTCCCACAAAACAGTGACCCCAAAGACCAGTCCCTCCAGACAGTCCAGAAGAATACCATTCACGAATAGTCTTCTACTATAACCCTGTTTAGGAGTTACAGATATTGAACCTTCACTAAACATCTACAATATGAAAGATTTTCTAGACCCAGTTGTAGCTTGTATTGGTTTCCATATTGCTGGGGTTGGGAGTTATGTGAAACGTTTATGTGTTGAAGGTTCCATGTTTGTAGTATCCAAACAGGGATTAGGTCTTCTATAGATCAGGCCATTATTTTCAATGAGAAGTATAACATATTCCAATCACTTTGATACTTTCAGAGCTGTGATAGATATCTCTAAAGTAGCCATGTCCATCCATCCTGAAAAATGATGTGACACCTTGAACAATCCTTTTAAACACCCTTCATATTTGTGGGTTGCATTCACCCACTCATCTCATGTATAGATCAATTCTGTGTAGAATTGACCTGGCATGGGTGCCTGCTTTATCATCTACCAGTGCCAATACAAGTCAAACTGATCTTATTTGATATAATCCTACACAGTAAGTAGGATTATATGATTTATAATCTGATTATAAACTGATATAATCTCACAATAGTTATGAGATGTAAGCTAAGATTGATTTCTGGGAGACCATTATAATTACTTCATAAGCAAGCAAACTTTCCTTCTTTCCTCCCTTTTGAAGTATTGCACATTATAGTCCACTTTTCCCTGAATCCACATCTCTTTTCTCTTGGGAACTAGAAATAAACTGGTTTCTGTTAATTTTTCAGGGCAACTCCAAGACAATACCTTGCTTTAATCCCAACACATTATTACCAGGTGAGTATTTATTTTTGTGCCAAGAAAATGTTGTGCACACTAAACATTTGCTTTTTAGTTTTGTTAACAATTAGAGTATTTGCAGAGAAGTGGGATATGAATCAAATAATAATTAAAAAATGGATTCCTCCTGACGAGGATCATGGTGAACTAGACATCCCTGAAAGAGCGGGGATGGCATTACGGCAGAGGTTGTGGCCATACGGTGGATCCTGGCTGATGATATCTCTCTGGAGAAAGGAGAGATTGTGAGATCACCTACATGTACTCTGGACAGCTGCTCCTCATGAATAGGCTGCAGGAACTGAGGTTTTGTGGGTGGCTTGTGAGTTGAGCATCTGAGAGTTGAGGGACTAAGCTCAGAGCTGTATTGTAGCCTATATGGACACAAAGTTTGACCAAACTTCATTTCTTAATCACTTTTGAAATTTCTTTTTAATTGCTTTTCAACCATTAAGAACTTTTGGAGGGGCAAGTTTTATGGCACTCATATGGGTGAGTTTCCTTCAATCCCTAGTGAAAGAAGTTTTAAGTATGAGTTTAAGGACTTAGAATTTTTTTTTAATTAAACAGCAAAAGGGTGATTAGAGTGTTGATTTTGGAAAGTTATAAATGGACGAAGGGTCCAGATGTATTTGAAATAAGATTTTGAAATTAATTATGAGAATCCTTCCCATGGGAAAATGCTGTTATGTTGAATTCTAAAACAAAACAAAACAAAACAAAACAAAACAAAACAAAACAAAACAAAACAAAACAAAACAAAACAAAACAAAACAAAACAAAACAAAACAAAACAAAACAAAACAAAACAAAACAAAACAAAACAAAACAAAACAAAACAAAACAAAACAAAACAAAACAAAACAAAACAAAACAAAACAAAACAAAACAAAACAAAACAAAACATGGTAGGATGGGACTTTGAAGGTTGGACACGAGAATGAACCAGAAGGAATTGATGATGACAATTAAAGGAGAAGAACACTTAAATTCGCTAATACAGAATGGAGAAAATATTTTAACATTGGATGTATTGAAGGATATTTGTGAACAATGGACTTAGAAGTTAATTTTAAGAATGTCTGCCATTATAGATAGACTGTGTGTAAAAGAAGTTATGGAAGAGGAACAAGTTCTACCAGACAAGACTGAGATCAATTTGAAAGTGGATTTAAAAATGACAGGCTACAAGAATGATATGAAAAAAGATGCTACACTGGATATACAAATGAAACTGGCTGATGTCTTAATAATGAAAAGGGACATACAAATAAACCAGAAGAGTGGCCTGGATACCTTTCCTATATTGAATTTACAGAAGAGACCTGTTAAAGTTTTGAAGGATTTTGTGAGGTACAAAGAAAAAAATGAAAAGAAATAAAGTTCTAGGACATTATTTCAAGGGATTAAAGATCAAGATTGTTAAAAGTGAAAGGAAGGAATATAAAGTTGGTTTATTTGATCAAGGTTAAAGTAGAGGTTAAAACCTCTGGTAACCCTTAATGGACTTTTGCTGACCAAGACTGCATGACGAGGTTTTAAAGTTTTGTTTATAGATAAGAGATGAGATATGGGAAGAAGTGAACATTTGTTGTATTTTAAGAGA